AGTTCTGTCCTTCCACGCCCTTATTCATATCATTAATTATTTGTCATCTTTCAGACTAATCATTCACTGCTACCACATTCATATGATTGAATGGAGCAAGTCAACAGGCGGATTTCAGAGTTATCACATGTTGCTACCACATTCTTTTCAAGAAATGGAGCAAATTCAATATGATGAATTTCAAGACATTTCATCAAAAATATAATATTTTTCTTAGTCATCATTTTATCATCGCTATGGTGCATTGGCTCAAACTCAATGTCTTACCCATATAAGGCGTGTTACGCCATAATTCTATGGTCTTGAACCCAATCACGGTGCATCAAAAATCTAATTGATGTCTTACCCTTTTGGTGCGATAGAACTTGAATCTATCGTCTTATCCTCAAATATTTTTTATTATGGTGCATCAAGAATTTAACCTAATGTCTTACCCTTTTGGTGCGATGAAACTTAAATCCATCGTCTTACCCTTAACCAACGGTTTAATAAACCGAAGTACAACATGATTTATTTTTTGAGTCTTTCAAAACAATCTAAATAATATTCAAACTCATGCCATTAAAATTTTATTCTTCTTCAATTTAAGAAGTTTTGTATAGCATGTCGTATTCAACCAATAATAGTATATGTCTTCAGTTCATGATAATTGTTAGTGACTGAATACTATTTTTATTCTAAATCATAAAAATATTCTAGAAAATACATACTTGATTTTATGCATATAATACTTTGATCTTCATAACGAGATCAACCAAAATATGAGCTAAAGAAAAACAAGAACTCACTCTCAATTAGATAGAGACTCGTGCTGATAACGTGTTATAAAATCAAGCTCATGACAATATAAATATTAAGAGATGAAGACAAGAGAAGTAAGATGGAAGATAAAACTTTCTTCTTATTCAAGTGTGTTTTACAAAAGGTGAATGATATCTCTATTTATAGAGTAGAAATATCACCCAAAGGCCACCATGATAAATGCTCAATTAATAAGTACATAGTTATCTATAAAGGTTCATGTCACCTTGGAAATGTAGATACATGATAGGATAAGTTCATGAAGAAAGCAAATGGACAATCCACACAATTCAATGGATTTATAACATTTTCACAAATATATAAATACAGACAATTCAAAGCGAAGTACTAATATTAAGGAAAACATTTTCCAAAACTTTCCTCCAAGTTAAAATTACATTTTTTTATTGAAAAAGTAAATTTAAAACTTCTTTAAAAAATATTTCTAATTAAATAATAATATTTTAGCTATATGAAGATTGAATTATATAAATACAACTTCCTCATATAAAAAAAATGTAATTTCCCTACAACAAAATTGTTGAAAGAAACTTGAAAACTGATGAAACATGTCGAATGAATGCCTTGTACATGACGATTACTCTAGTTATGCATGATAGAACCAAACATGTATTAATGGATTATCATTTTGTTCATGAGAAAGTGTCCATGAGATAATTTCTTACTCATTTTGTGAATTCTAAGGTTAGCTAGTTGATATTCATACCAAAGTCTTAACAAAGCAGGTTTTCTTGGATTTCGCAGCAAGATAGGAGTTACAGTTCCTCTGGTCACTAGCTAGAGGGGAAGTGTTGTAGGAAGCTTGAAGATTGATGAAACATGTCGAAGGAACAGTAGACTGATGAACATGTTGAAGGAGAAGATTCATCGAAGCAAGCTAACAAGTTAGAGTTGGAGTCATACTAAGACTAGACTACTAAATTCTATGTTATATACGACTAAGCTACTGTATATTATAGGAGTCGACTAGGATAAGGTATTTGAGTTATAATACAATACTACTCATGTAAATAATTGTGTTGTAGTAGGATTCATAGTATATCTAAAATATGACTCTTCTTTTACATGAGGAGCTTGTGACTCAATATTATTTTCATCAATATATCCTCAATTTCTCCATAATTACGTGAGTTTCTACAATAATATATCTATAGCGATTAAATTTAAGCTATGAATTCAAAAATTATAGCTATTACGTAGTAATAGCCACAAAATTTTGAACACCATAGCTATCTATAAATTCATAAAATTTCTTAGCCACAAATATCAAATTGATGAAGCTAATTCATTATTTTTGTTATGACTATTAATAATTGTGGCAGTAATTGTCTAAGTAGCTACAACTTTATTGCTTTGATAAAAATTTGCAGTTGATTGTATGTTTTTGCTATGCGATAAATATTATTATGGCTATATTAACCTTTTAGACACAAGAAATTATTTGAAACAAATATTTTATCTATATAAGATATTTTGCTTTAACTTGTTAACGCCCAATTTTGACCGACCTTTTATCATTTTTAGGATTGTTGTTTGATTAAATACGTATTTTTAAGATTTATTTTAAATTTAAAATTTTAGTCGATTTTGCATGAAAATTATATAATTTAGTATGTTTACTTTATAAATTATTGTAAATATTATTAAAATATTTTAAAATTATTAATAAATTTTGAAATAATAACTTCATCAAATGTTTTAAAATTTAAGTGTTTTTCAATTACATAAAATTAGATAATTTACCCAGGCTTTTCGCGGGTATAATTTATATTTCTAACCTTTTGAACAACCTTTTCAATAATCGCTTTTATAAAGAAAAAAAAGTAAATTGTTGTAGGTTCTTAGAACATTTCTACAAAAACCAAATGATTTGACGTCATCACATATCTCAAGAATTGTAGATAGATAATTAATGATTAAAAATATCTTGATAATCTAATTATATTTTTCTTTTACATAACTTAACATATTATATGTTTGATGATATAATTGTCTTTCTAAAATCGAGTGATGTTTTTGTAACAACCCTAAAAATGAATAAGATAAGAAATGCTTAATGTGTCAAGAATGCCTATGATTAGACGAGGGTTCACACAGATTGATGTGCGTAGACCCAGAGCTCGGAACCCTTGCTACAGCCAAGCCAACTAACTTGGGGAGTTAGTTGAGCTTGGAAAGGTTGGGTCCAACCATGTAGGGTCTCGAATACGAAGATTTAGTCGAAGGAGTCTTTATCGGATTTAAAAAGAGGAAATCTTAGGTTTGACGGGTCTACTAGTAAAATGGTCTTTTCCTGGCTAAGGGTAGTATCGTAATTACCCTAAATATATAATTAATTATTTAATTAATAAGGTGGAGGGACAATTTGGGGAGAGACAGCCGGAATTGGGCTCTTGAAGTGGAGTCTTGCTCCACCCGGGTTCAAACCTAGGTAGAAGCAATGGATTAAAGTGATTTTTATCTAAGCTATTGAATTAATGTAATTAATTAATATTTAATATTCATTAGCTGATTTAATATAAAATCAAAATCAGATTTTTATTGAATAAACAAAAACCTTATTGACTAAGTTCTAAAACTAGACTCCTAAGCCTCCTACAACTCCCACTCGCTCACACTTATCTCTCCACTCTCACGCTCAATATCTTTTCTTCTTTCTTACGTATTCTCTATGCAAAAATAATAGGCAAGATCATAAAAATAAAGCAAGTTCGTCACACTTGAAGAACTCACACGAAATCACAAGAAAACAAATATTAATCGCACACTAGGCTAAGGGAGGTTGTCATTCGAGTGGAGTTGACATTGAGGAGGCTTAAGACCTGATTTTGGGTGAAGTTTTCCGGCATCAAGTCAAGGTTTAACATCAAAAGGTATGGGTTCTCTTCTCTCTTTGTCCCTTTCCCAGGAGACCCCTTAAGGTTCAGATTATTCAGTCCAAAAACTAAGATTGTTCCCCTTTCCATGCCCCTCACTAGCTCCCAATGAATCGTAGGTTGGGTATGATTACTGGTAGATTTTGGTGTATGGTATTATTTCCTGATGAATATGATTATGTTTGTGTACTTGAAATCGTATGAAAGACAACCATGTGTTCGAAATTATGTGCAAGTGTGTGTGTGCAAGCATGTTACAGTGACTAAGGTCCTCGGGTTAAGGCTCCAAATTCGGTAATGTTATGATTGTTACTTTACGTTCATAAACCTATATACATCGTAATGTTCATTAAAAATGAAAGTATGGCTGATTTGAGTACCAATCTTTTGGATAAACGATTTTATAAAAATGCACTTCAAAATGTATTACATGTCCTATGAATTTTCCTAAGAGTTCAAGTGAAAGTGTTGGTGAAAATGAGATGAAAATGATTAAATTTCCAGAAAACCTACAAGTTTGGTTTAGGATAAATAATGATGAATAAATCTTGAAATTATTTGAGTGTAAAGGGATGAGACCACCAGGATTCGAAGTTGTGACCTCACCCGCAAAATGCCTTAAAACATGAAAAGGGAAATGGGGTCAAGGGGAATTTATATTGGGTGGGCTGGATGAAAAGTAATGTACAAAAATTAATAAAAATAAAATGGGAGGCGTGGGAATCGAACCCACGACCTCCAGTCAGCGAGTGGAAGTAAGGGAAAAACAAAAGAAAAGAAATGTGAGGCGTGAGAATCGAACCCACAACCTCAAGGCTGTGAAGGAAAGTAAAGGAGAAAGGGAAAAAGAAAAGAAAATAAATGTGAGGCGTGGGAATCGAACCCACGACCTTAAGGCAGTAAAGGGAGTTAAAAGAAAAATGTAGATAAAAAATATTGTGAGGAGTGGGAATTGAACCCACGACCTCTAGGCACTAGCTGCGAAATAAAAGAAAAATAAAGAGAGGTTGTGGGGAACCTCATGGTCTATGCGAATTGTATAAGGAGAATTAAATGAAAAAAAATAGAAGGGGTTGTGGGGGTTCAATCCCACAACCCCTCCTCCATGTAGGAGGAGATTCCAAGGATATAAAGAAAGAGGGAATGTTGATGTTGGGGATTAATTTAGGGTCCCAATGTCATGTGGATTAAAAATAAAATCAATTAAAAATGTAAGTGTTGTCCACGGGATTCAAACTTGGGTTGCCTCATTGATACATAAGTCATACATGAATTAAATGTTCAAGAATAATGTTACCTACTTAAATTGAAATCGAAATCTTGTTATACATACAACATGTATAAGTCTTGTGCTACATAATCGTAGGAAGATATGTATCACTTAACGAACTATGAAAGAAGCCTCATGACTTGTATGTATAGACCCATAAGTCTTCCATACGTTTAAAAATAAGTGATCCTAAGATGTATGTATTGAAATAATGAAACCCTAGAAGGGTTAAGTAAGAGTGTGAAACACACAAATATCCAAGTCCATTGACATATGATGAAATGAACATTCACGTAAAAAGGGGTGAGTAATTATGAAGAGCAAATGTGCTAGGGTTAATGAATGTGGTGACAACATAATATGAGGATAGTGTAAAAGATGATAACAATCTCAAATGAGCCTTAAGTAAAAATTACCAAAACATACTCACCTATGAGAGTATAAAGTTAATAAAGAGACAGTCTCTATGAACACTCTAATGAAATTATTAAGATTAACACACTTAATACTAATGATGAGATGAGAAATCATCTATTGAGCTATGATGTCCTCATACTAGAAGCCAGCTTTCATGACGTATGAGTTGAATGTAATGGAAATTTATACTAAGCACAGATAGACTAGCTATGAGCGGTGATGCCTTCTTTCGGGAAGGGCGGAGGTTCACGTAAATCTCATGAGATGAGACTGTCCGGCATGCCGGGTATAAATTTCCTTATATCTCCTAGTCTTCACACCTATACTTCAAATATAGGGATCTGGCGGGGTTCAATTCCCATGTACGCTAGCATGTTTTGGGTCACTTTGGTCGGTGATTCTACCTCTTTTTCACTGGATTTCATGATGCTCACATGATCTATGCCGGGTTAAAGTTAGAGTTCCCCATGAATGAATGAGGTCAGCCTTAAATGATGCACATAATGAAATGAATGATACCAAAGGTGTTAGGATAGTATAATCAAGAGGTGAGATAGACTTAAGTAATGACACTAAGTCATTCGTGATCATTGCACAACGAACCCGATGAAAGTCTTAAACTACATCCTAGGTACATCTGGTGTTTACACTAGCATATAAATAAAATGAAATAAAGTACGTATGAACGAATGAAGCAGACTCTATGTTTGCTAAAAAAAGCTTCCTAGTTAAGGTCCCATATCTTGAGCCTTTATTTTGGGAAGTCTTGATGTCAAGTCCATGATTCCAAGGTCTCATGACATATGAACGAATAATATGAACAATGTTATGTGCTATATGCAATATGTTATGTGCTATGTGCAAAATGTTATGTATTATATAAAATATGATATGTGTTATGTGTTAGATGTTATGTTCTGTGTGCAATATGATAAGTATGATGATGCATTTTACTCTAATGGCATGACTTTTCTAATCCAAATTTGGAAAGCGCACTAACTTTTCTAATCCCAATTTAAGAAGTCCACTGACCTGACTTTCCATAATCATGTTGTTAGGAAAGAGTTGTTCTTAATCATACATGTCCTTGGTGTGTGTTTGTGTATACCCATACTTAGTACAACTGTGTACTTATCCCATACAACTGTAAAATTTTAGGTGCTGGCATAATTGGACACTAGAGCTACAGGTTGACGCTGAAACTATCCAGACATAGAGCATTTATCCGGACTTGATAGGCCCTCATGATTTCGAGGATGCTTGTCCATTATATTCTACCTTAGTTATAGGATTTAACTAGTGGAGTATGTTCCACTAGTGTTTCTTTCCGCTTTTGTTCAGACATTGTATTGGTGCCATTTTGGCAAGTGTACATTTAATGCTATGTTAAACTATTTCTTTCATTTGATGATCTTAATGTTAGATGGTTGATGGCAAACAAGTATGAATCTAATCGAATGATTAGTATGTATGTTAAGAAACAAGAAGTTTCAATTTTTTTGCTAAAATTGACCTAGACGAAGTAAGAATGACGTAAGTAGGCTTGTCTGCGACCTCTGAGAAGTCAACGACGCCGGTCTCGTCTGGGGTTAGACTCCGGTCTAATTTTTATGTAGAGATTAAACATCACTCTTTCTATTTATTTTTGTACTTCAAAAATATAGAATCTTATAATTTTATAGTTAGAATAATTTCTTGTGTAAACATATTTATGTAAAAAAATTCGATAATCAATATTAGTTATAAATAAATTAAGATCGTTTAAAAATGTACAATGCAACAACATAAATATTTTTTTAGGAGACAATCTACTTGTCTGAGGTCAATTTTCACCACTTTTCGTTATCATTAATTTATTACTCCAGCGAAAACTTATAGAAGGAGAAATAAATTTGGAACAACAACAAAATTATATTGTTGACCCTTATATAAATTCATTTTTCATTAAACTGCGGAAGACCCTTCCGGATGCTTTATAAATGAAACTTTATGACTTAATCAGGAGTTTTTACGTATGCTTGTTGCATTATGAAAGTACAAATAGATCAAAATGTTGAATTCTAGACTCATGTTAAAGAAGTATTCTCAAAAATTAATAAGATTAAAAATGAGTTAGTCTAACCTTGATAATTCAAACGCTCAGCAATGACTTGAGACATGAAGGACAATAAATCTATATTAATAGACATATCTTTTATAGATTAACATATTAGTTTTATTTAGTGTAGATTTTGTTTCATATTCTTCAAATTAATCTTGAAGAAAATAGTCATAACTTACAACAAAAATATTTAGAAGAGTCGAATGAAAAGGAAAATTAAAGAAAACATTAAAAGGACTAAAATCGTTATTACAGTCAGATTATATACATACAAACCATAAAAAATCTATATAATTGTAGGGAGACATCATAACAACAAAAAAAACATTAAAGGGAGTAAACTATAGGATATTCAATGATGATAACAAATCATTCTAACCACAAAAGTTCTTATCTTTTGAAATAACGTACCTCAAAAAGCTGACTTACATTTCAATCAACTTTCAATCCTTAAAGTAATCATAATATCCAGTGATAAAATTAAGTAAAAATAGATAACAACATAAAAAAAAAATTATGGGCATGCAAAGTTATTAACTCTCAGAGGATTTTCTGAAGAACACAAAATCACATCCTTCTATGTGAAGGAATAACATTATTGATGAAGAGATCTGAGATTTGAAAAGCCTTTTTAATGTACACCCAACAATTTCAGTAGAGAAAACTTGCTTGAATATTCAATTGACATTTGTTATTTAATCTGTACTAACAAATACTTATAACAATAACTTTACATAAACATAAATAGCAAAGTTTAAAGAATATACTCAAAAACAGCAATAATAAAATTAGAATAAACTAACGATTGTAAAAAACATACTAGGATATGCAACATTGAAATGAAACAGAATGATACAAATCGAGCCTATTGAATGCACATTGTAGTTCACTATTTATAGACAACAAACGGTATTGAAATGAAACAGAATGATACAAATCAAGCCCATTGAATGCACATTGTAGTTCTCTATTTATAGACAACAAACAGTACTTGTAAAAAAATGATTAATGTGTCTTAACGGAAAGGATACAATTATTTGAAAAAGTTACAACCTTTCAGAAAGGGAAAAAAATTTCGTGAAACTCGTGACTTGTCATAAAAGTCACAATTTTTCATAAAAGTCGCAACTTTTCATGAAAAAAGTTACAAAATTTCATAAAAGTCACAACTTTTCATGAAAGAAGAAGACTAGTTTTGGAAATAAAAAAAATTAAAGAGAATCCTTGCTTGTAGTGTCGCTACATAGACGGTCCTAAGGTTCTCTTTAATATAAATATATGATATTTTAATATATGTAGTATTTTAATTAAATAACAATTCCTAATTTTTTCTCAAATTTATTTAAAAATTAGTCTTTTATTCCAATTTATTTCAATTCTAGTCACTCCAATTTATTTGAATCCTAGCCCTTCATCTCTTATGAAATCAATGGTTGAGATTAATTTCTTCTTTTCCCTATTTATAAACTATCAAAAAATCTAAACCTAAACCCTCATCTTCTTATTCTATTCTCCTCCCTGCCTTCCCCTTTGCATTTCTCTTCGTCTTCTCCTCTCCAGCGAGCTGCCATGCAGCTCCGATCAGCGGCGACCAGTGAGAGAGGCAGCAAAATTCCGGCGAGATGCTCCAGGCGGCGCTGCCCCTTCCCCCTTTTCTCCTTCCCTCTCAGATCTCTCCTCCCTCCTCTTCTACTTGTTCTTTTTTTCTCTCTCTTTACAGGACCACCAGGAAGCAGGCTCCGGCGAAGAACAGCGACAAGCAGCAACAACAACCAGACGCTGCCTCATCTCAATCTCAGGGCGAGCATCTGCGAAAGCCAGCTCCGACCAGCTGCAATTCGACGATTCTCCACTTTTCCGACGAGGACGGACAACATACTCCTGCGAGCATATCGAGGTTTTGAGACAGATCTTTAACAGATCTGTCCAGGTAAGTTTCTTTTATTAATTTCAACTTTTTTCTATATATATTTCTGGATTTTAAGATATAGATAACTAGTCTAGGCTTTTATTTCTCCATCGTTGCTTATTTGTTCTTGTGGTGATCTTTTTTCAAATGAAAAGCACAAAATCAGTAGAGATATTTACCAAAATAATAAGGATTTTTCCAAAAAAAATAAACAAGTAAGAATCTGTTAATCTTCAATTAAGCAAAAGAAGACAAATAATCAACCTAAGAAAAAAATGAACAAAGCAGACATGGATAGTTTTCCTTAACTTGTAAATGATACATTTTCATACTAAACCTAAATGCAATTTGACAGCCCGCCTCAGTACTTGTTAGGTTATTTCAGGGTCTTACCAGCATTTGAACGACAAGACAAATGTCCTCTAATAAATGCAACAATTGAAGAAAATAATGCTTTTATATATGGTTGTAACTAATCTCTCCATAACTTGTGTAGGAGTCTTCCGTTGTTAGTAGACGAGAAAGACGAGCGAGGGAGAAACAGATAGTCTCCATGGCTTCACCAAGTAAGCATCGCAAACCCCAAATGGTAATTCTTGTAATATATTTGTTGTATGTATGATTTCATTTTGTTATTTGTTGTATTTAGTAATGGAATGAAACATAGCAGAGAGGATTTAGTACTCATATCTAAGTGCTTCTATATAAAGTAAAGAGTTATCGAAACTGATTCGCTTATGAGGTTTTGATTCCTCTAAACGCGATATGGATAGAAATCAGCCCAAAAGTTTGAGAGATTTTTGTGGGATTGAATGAACCAACCCGCCTTTTGGAACCAAATATGATGCTTTTATCTATCATCAAATACATGAATAACTTATTTCTTATTCAGCTACCCAACGATGATTCCAATATAAATACATTTCGGAAACAAAAAATAATCGAAAAATAAGTTACCTTGTC